CGTGTGGCTGTGTCCCTGCCCCCCCGGGCTGCCTCCGCAGCACTGCCACGGAGCAATGCACACAAACACACAAGAAAACAAGCATTAACCAAAAAAAAACCCCCAAACCCAATGGCAAGGCATGTGGCAAAAGGCCAAAGGTCTCCCCTTGCTCACTTGCACGGGCGTGTCTTTATTTCTTTATTTATTTTACCCAGCCGGGGTGTGGACGGGAAGGCTCGTTTGCCGCTCTGCCCCGTGCCGGGTGCTGGCTTCTCCTGTGTGCTGCCTCATGGAAGCAGAACAGGGCAGCCGGGGCAGGGCTGCGGTCATAACCAGCAACAAAAAGTGTGGGGGGGGAGGATTGGGTCAGTGTGATGGAGCTGCTTTCTTTCACTTGGAGAAAAACCTTTTTTTTTTTTTTTTTGATCACGGGTGTTGGGTGTTGGTTTTGGGGGTGGATTTTGTTTGTTTGTTTGTTTTGTTGTTTTTTTTTCCTTACTCGTCCTTAAGGTTTACAGAGCCCTAAGAGGTTCACAGCCTCGGTTGTACCACAGACAGGAAGAGTGTGAGTGTTTACTGAACGCCGGCGTAATGTAGCCGCAGCACAGGGTGTCGGGGTTTTTGAGTTGTTTTGGTTCCTGGTTTGGTTTTGTGGCTTTTTTTTGTACTAGGGAGAAGGGGAGGGCCTTTTACTTGTGTCCAAACATATCTTACAGGACCATTTTAGTTTCACACTAACACACGCACACACGCGCGTGTCTGCGCACACTCTCTAACACACTAATACACACACCCACCCCCAACGCCTATTGCTACACAGGTGGTGTGCTAATATATTGTTTTTAAAGTTAAGAACAAGAGCTGGTGAAAAATGAACAGTTTGTCTTTCGGAGGCAAACGCTCAACTGCTGTTTCCCCTTCCACCCTCCCCACCACTTGTCTCCTCTTCCCAGCATGGGGCTGGGGCTGCGGGGTGAGGCGGGGGGTGACGGGGACGCTCGGCCTGAACCGGGCCGGCAGGACAAGTGGCCAGGAGCAGAGAGGGTGGAGGAGCCGGGGTTTGGGAGCCGAAGGTGCGAGCCAGGCACCTTCCCCAAATGCACAGGCCTCCTGCCCATCCTGCCGCTTTGAAACCAAAGCTCGCCTCCTTTCTAGAGGCAAAATACCCAAATATGCATGTAAAAGCAACCGGCCCCCGCTCGCTGAGCAGCTCACGCTGCGTTTCGCGGGGCTCTGAGGACACGTGGCTTATATTTTTCCTTTTTGGCCTCGTGCTTTCCAGCACAACCAAAGCACGTGGCCGATAGACTCGCAGCCCTTGTCATGTGTGTTAGACTGCCTCAAAAAGAAAAAAAACCTAGAGTAGAAACCTCCGCTGTAAGCAGAGATAAAGCCTAACGTGAGCTTCACTCCGTGGCAGTTTGGCTTTCTAGCTGTATTTTGGTTTTTGCGGTGTGTTTTCCGTGCTCTCTCTCTCCTCAGGCCCCACGTTCCCTCCCCGAGCGCCTCCTTCTGCCGGAACTTACTGCACAGCTTTTGAGCAGGGACCCGTTTGGTCAGCGCTGACTTCCTAGTCTTGTCAGTCTTTTAGTGTCAAAGTAATAAACGCGACGGATTTTCAGAATACGCAGATGTCCTCTGCTTCACTTCTGTTCTTTTACAGTTACAAATTGCAAAGAAACGTGAATGCCAAGGAGCTCCGGGGTTCGGCTGCAGGGACGGGGGAGGCCGGGCAGTTGCAGCACGTGTGGCGGGGGGGTCTGGAGCGGTGGGGAAGGGGCAGAAGCAGCCGGCCAAGGGGGGAGACAACCGTGTCCTGGGGAAGCCCCTGGGGAGACGGTTGCATACGGGGTCAGGCATGAGCTGATGCTGGTTGAGGGCCAGCACCGGGCCACGTACGAGGGGGAGTGAAAAACAAACCAGCGCCTGTAACGACTGGCCTTCTCCCACCCTGGTCAACATGGAGGAACAACAGCAAACTGTGGAGACTGTAGAGAGAGCTGCTGAATCACAGCGAGGAAACAGACAGGGAAAGACAAAACATCCCATCACCACGTGTAGAAAATTCATAATAAATCACATACCCAACAAGCGTTGGCGTCAAACTAAACCTGCCGCCTCACGAAGAGCCTTCCTGCCCCCCCTGGGCCGTGCCGCAGTGGGCTGCAGAGCATGGCGGGTGCTCGGCCAGGGGCTCGTCTGTGACCCTGCCCGTCCCCCATGCCCCATGGCATCCTGCTTCTCGCCTCCTCTTCTTCCAGGCTGGTGTTGCCCCAAAACCGTACAGCCCCTCTCCTGACTCGCGGCCTGCAAAAGGGGACATTTGGTCATCCTGGAAAGCCGTCTGGCTGCCTGTGCCCGTGCGGTCAATGACAAGGCATGGTTGCCAGCAGAATCACACCATGCACAGAAGCACCTTTTGTAGGTTTTTTTATTTCTTTATAACCCCCCCCCCAAGTTGAAATACAGAGGAACTGGAAAAAAGTCTCACAACATAGTAATAAAACATCTTTATTCCCTCTTAAATATAATCTCTAAGACTATAAGCCTATAATTCCTGTTAAATCTCACTTAATTGAATGGTCTTTATAGGCTTTCCTCATTGGAGAATGAACATTGAATACTGGCTTCAACACAACATCGGGAAGACAGTAGTACGGGGAATAAATCACGAACTTTTGGTACCTTGGGAAACGTTGCAGAACCTGGTGGAGACACAACCAGCAGAAGGAGCGTGCTCGCGCAGGGAACCAGGAGTGGAGCCGGGGGCTGCACTTCCCCTCCCTCCCACCGGCTTGCGGCCGGAGGACGAGGACGAGGCGAGAGCCTCAGCCTCACGCCACACAGCCCTAGGAGGAGGGATAAGCAAGAAAACGTGGAGGAAACGAGATGTGGCAGAAGCTCTGGGAGCAGCGCTGCTGCCACGGCCACCCAGCTGGAACCCTGCTGCACCTCTCGGCTGCGGCGCCTGGCTCAGCCCGCAGGTGACATGAGCCGCCGTTGCCCTCTGGCTTCTAGGCGGATTGAACTGAAGTTAAAAACCACAAGATTTTTCCCGTAAGTGGGTCACTTCTCATTCAGCCAGCTATCCCCTAAGCTGATGAAGTCCTGCCGCAAACAAAGGGAATTAGACCAGCTAATGGGGTTAGGGAAGAAGAGCCCCTGAGGGCCAGGTCTGCTGGTCCCACTGAAATGACAGCTGGAGAAGAGTCCCATGAAGCCCCTTGAATTAACACAGCGTCCTGTCCTATAGGGTTTGCTCCCCATCTTGATGTGCATGGTGCTGATCCATGACAGCACAGCTGCTCTGCGGGGCCAGGGCTCAGGCAGAGGGGTGCAGGGTGCTGCTCCCCAGCCAGCCCGGTGCACGCTGCCTTCTCCCCAAGGGATGGGAAACAGCCAGGCCCAGCTGAAAAACATCTCCTCAGAGACGAAGATGAGGGAGAAACTGTCAGGGGGTAGATCCAGTGAAAAAAGAGCTCTGCCTTTGGTGCCTTTTTACTGTCACGTAACAGAAAAAAAAAAGTGCCAGCTGTCCCCCACCCCTCCCTCCCTCCACCCCCCGTTAACTGTCGCGTAATTCACTCAAAAATACTGATAGGACAAACTAGAATATTTTATGGAAACCTCCTTTTGCACTCACCAGTCCCTGGAGCAAGCCAGGAGAGGTGATGAAATACGTTCCCCGACACCTCCTGCTAGCAGCGTACAAAACCCAATGATCTTTCCAGACTCTTCCCTGACCAACGCATGCGACTTCCCAGCACTCGTCTGTATTCTTCACTTATCATTTTTCTCTTGGTTTTACCTTGTCTTCCCTGCTGCTTTAATCATGGCCTTCTCCTGCTGGCCTCCCCCTCATTAGGGGACGCGGTGTCAGAAGGAGGCAGTATCAAGCGAACGCTGCTATTGAACTTCCGCGCTCGAATCTTGCCCCAGCTGGTCTAGGGAAGGCTGAGGTGGCCCTCCCACCCCCTGATCAGCAGGCGAGTCCAGGGCAGAAGCGAAGCGCAGCATCATGTCAATGTACTCCGGCAAAACCCAGCATAAGCTGCAGGAATCTGGAGAACTTCTCCAAGACTGCCCTTACCTTTTGGGAATGAAGGTACTCAGGCCATGAGCACATCGCTCCGCCAGCCGTTGCAAAGCGCGTCGCGCCCTGAGGACAGCAGGTACCACCTAGGACAGCAGGTACCAGCTACGCGCTACCTTCTCGCAGCGTGCAGTGTCACTGCTGTAGGAGACCTGCACATCGACTCGGTGCTGGTGCCACAGCCAGGCCAACATCTTCAAAAGTGGGTCTGGGATTTGAAGTGATGGGTTTTTGGACACCTCAAACCCACCTGCCAGACCAGGTCAGAAGTGGCATCCGCCAGTGCCTTGGCTGCAGAACGCCTTGTTTGAAAACCAGGACTCTGGGTAGGGACCTCCAAAATGGGGGCAACCTGAATCCCTGTTCACTTGGGGAGACCGTGGCTGGCGCGAGAGTACTCAGCACCCTGGTCAGACAGCTGCAGGGAGGGACCAGCACTGGGACACGAGCCGAAGGAACTGCAGTCGCAACTGGACACGGACCGCAGCGTTTGCTATGGGTGGGGTGACTCCGTAGCACGTAATACTTGCACAAGGTGAGGGGTGGCTATCACAGCGAGAAGCTGCTCTCAGTTCACAAGGTGCTGACAGACACGGGGAAGACCACAGCACATAAATACATCCACGCACAGCCACAATCCACAGTCTCTGGCAGCTGCCACGAGCCTAGATGTGGGGCTCACCGATAGCTGCGTTCTTCTTCTCAAACTTCATTTTGAGCTCTGACACGAGGGCATTGTGGGCGCTGCTATGACCTCTCTTCTTCAGCTGCTTGTTTTTAAAGTTTG